AAAGGGGAGCTCATTCTTACTGGAAATCATAACCATTCATTCCCTCCTTGGTTCATTGTTGTTGTGCATAGAATTGTGTCCTCCCAAGAGATATGTTGGGGTCCTGATCCCTGGTACCTGTGAATGTGACCTTATTTAGAAATAGGGTCTTTGCAGATGTAATCAACTTTAGATGAGGTCATACTTGATGACGGTGGGCCCTACTGCAACATGACCACTGTCCCTATAAGGACGGAAAGATTTGGAAATAGAGACATAGACAGAGGGAAGACAGCCATGTAAAGACAGAGGCAGAAATTGGAGTGATGTAGCTACAAGCTAAGGAAGAGCAAAGATGGCTGGTGACCATCAGAAGCTAGGAAGAGGTGAGGAGGGATTCTTCCCTACAGGTTTCAGATGGAGTGCGGCCCTGCCAATGCCTTCATTTTGGACTACTAGGCTCCAGACCTGAGAGAGACTAAATGTCTGTTGGTTTTAAGCATCCCAGTTTGTGGTAATTTGTCAGGGCAATCCTAGGAAACGGATATAATAATCATGTATTGAGCACCTACTATGTTCTAGACACACTGGGGATATGACATTAAATGAGACAGGAACTCAGACCTTAAAGTATTCATAGTCTGGTGCATCTGCCTTATACATAACTCTGCTCTAGAAAAGAACACACACACACACACACACACACACACACACACACACACACCAAGTAGTGGTTTAAGTAGCAGGAGACATGAATTCTAGGTCTAGTTCAGCCCCTTTAATATGCTGTGTGACCTTGAAGAAGTCACTGTCCCTCTCTGGGCCTATTTTTTTTCACTTTTTCTGTAAAATCAAGGAGTCGGCCCAGAAAATCCTCAAGGGGTATCCTGGCTTTAAAGTTCTATGACGTGCTGGGATGAGGACAGGCAGAAAGGCAGGGAAAGCATGTGCAGCCTCCCATTCTCCTCAACACCCCTTGTGTGGAGCCCTGGCACTCTAGGGCACTGTCCCTCTGCCCTCATCATCCCAGGGCCATGTACGAGACAACTAGGGACAGCCCCCATGCCCCAGAGCCAAGCCTAAACCTGTTTATCCTGCCTGGCCTATTCCCTCCCAGGGAAACCACAATGAAGTCTCCTGTCCACGTCTTCCTCCGGACCCCCTCTGCCTGCTGACCGAACCTGGTGTTTCCCCTGTGGCATGGTGTGGTCCCTCCTCTTGGGAGCTGGGATGAGCTGTTTTTCAATGGCAGTTGTCTTCTGATCTATTGGCCTCGACATACCTGAACTATAATAAAACCTGTATTTAAAAACAAGGACAGGGGTGCCTGGGTGGCTCAGTCGGTTGAGCGTCTGACTTCGGCTTGGGTCATGATTTTGCGGTTTGGGCTCCATGTTGGGCTCTGTGCTGACAGCATGAAGCCTGGAACCTGCTTCAGATTCTGCTTCCTCTCTCTCTGCTCCCCCCCCCCCAATAAATAAATAAACAAACCTAAAAAATGTTTTTAAATGTGGGGCCCCTGTTAAAAAATTATTAAGAATTTCAATATGGTGACCCCAAAGCATTAAATCAAGTGCAGGGCCCTTCTCAACATAGGACCCTGCGTGACAGCATAAGTCCTGTGCCCATGGAGCTGGCCCTGTTCTTTCCTCCTTCCCAACCTGGCATCTGGTTCCCTTCTGCTTCTCAAATCTCTCTAGCCTGATTTTCCAATTTCAAAGCCTCAATACTGAGCCCCCCCCCCCTTTTTTGTACTCCACTAATGGATTCAAATTTTTAGAAACCATAAAGCTTTAATAATTCTGCTTCATTGTGAAGGGAGGAAAGGAGGCCAGTATGAATTAATGAAAAGTCTAAGAAATAAGACATTACTAAAGAAATAGTGTTTTATTACCCTCCGATTTATATGGTGACAGAAATGACATGGAGAACGAGGGAGAGCGGAGGAAGTTGAAGCTTTTTGGATTTGATTAAACAAATAGAAAAGATTGAACTTATAGCTTGTAATAAGCATATTCCTTTTTTGGCAAATGATGCGACTAAAAACCACCTCCTTTAAGTAGGTTAATATTTCTCTTGTCCACGATCACTTTGCTCGCTGAGAACTTTTTAATGCTACAGAAGCTGGTAAATTTCTTCTGCAGTGATTCGATGTAACAAAACGAGTTTCCTGACCTTGCAGGCAATCTACAGTATAGATCGGGTTAAGGGAATTTCTTGTCAAAGGGAAATCCAGTATGGCAAATTCTCTCTGCTCCCCACCTCCAGAAAAGTCACATCTTCAGAGCAACCATCTAAAATGCAGAGCTCATCGTGTGCCACAGCACGACACTCCTGGACTTCATCTTCGCTGGCTGCCACATTTCAGACCTAACTCAGTGTCCTGCCACAGTTGGATCCAGACCTATTTTGGGGTAGTAGCCTCAAACGGTGCACACACCCCACACCTCCGAGCCTGAGCGACCTGGGCTTGGACTGCCCTCCCCCCCAACTTGCACAGTCTGTCAAAATCCTAACTCATGTTTCAAGGTCCAGCTCAAAGGTCCTCTCCTCTGGGAAGCTGCCTCTGACATTTCCAGGCAGAATCTCGGCCTCCGTCTGCCCCCACGGCACATCTATTCCAGCATTTGTGCTCCTGCCTAACAGTTGTCTGTTCACTTCTTTCAGAGGGGAAAGTGTGCCCTGGGGCTCGCCCACCTCTGAGGAGGTGGTGTAGTCCAGCAGTTTAGTAGCAGAAGAGGTCCCAGCTCCAATGCTAACCAGCTGCATGCACACAGTAACACCAGCCTCACAGCACTGTGAGGATTAAATCAGATGATAACCTGAAAGTGCTTAGCACGGAGACTGGCAAAAAGCAAGCTCAAAAAATATTAACTGTTTTCTCTGAACACTAGTGTATAAACATGGAGTCACAGAATGGCCATGTGGCTGGTCAGTCCTGGTTTATGCCTGTGGTCCTGGAGCTATTATTAATGCCCTCTCCCCTTTTTCAAAACTGTTTCCGTTTGGGTGACAAATCACATGCCACCTATGACAGTTAGGACCAGGTCTATTTTATTTACCAGTGTGTCCCTGCCACATGAACAGTGCTTAGCACATATTAAGTACTTAATACAACTTTATCAAATGAATGAATGTGTCTCCCATGCCTAGCAAGTGCCTGGCACCTGGCAGGAGGTTCATGAGAGCTAATATGGCTGATTTCTCTGCATTTCCAAGCACCTCCTGACCCAGAGAAGGCATGAATCAAGGCTTGGTGAGTGAGTGAGTGAGTGAGTGAGTGAGTGAATGAATGAATGAATGAACAAACGAACGCACTCCCTCCAATCTGTTGCCAATCACACATCCTGGGGAAACAAACAACATCTCACAGGGGTAGGGGCGAAGATTGGGTCAGATGGAGGACGAGGTGGATGTGACGCCTTCCCATCACACTTCGGAGAGGGGGGTGTCTCTTCCTGGGGCTGCAGCAGGGCCCTGTTTTCATTTTCCAGCTAGAAACTGGGGATTGGTTTCCCCCATGTACCAGCAGGAGACCACAACCTAGGTTAGCCTGACCAGTAAGTCCAGTGGGCTCTTGAGGGTGCTGAGACCCTTGCCTCCATCAGACACTGTATATAAAGTACAGGTGCTCAAGCTTCCAGCGGGTGTTGCCTACCAGCTGCTGACCTAGCCACAGGGGAGAAGACACGTAACTCCAGGTGCGAGGAGCAGAAGGAAGAGAATGGGAATGCTTTCTGCCCTTCTAGGCTCAGAAAGGAAATTTCACATGTTGGCAGCCAAAAACATTTGGATACAGACTACGCATTAGACATGGTAAGAACTTCCAGAGCATTAACTCAGCCATGAGAACAGCCCTATGAAGAAGCTACTCCCATTTTACACATTGAAAGTGAGTCAGAGTGGGGAAGTGACTTGCCAGAGGTCACACAGCTAGTAAGACAGTGTCCCAGAGCTCAGATCCCTTGGCAGGTGAGGGTAGAAAACAGAAAGGAGTCCTCTCCATCCCTCCTCAACCCAATATAAGAAAGCCCAGTTCCTGTTCCCCCTATTCGGGCTGCGTGACCTTGGGCCCTCTCTGAGCCTCACTTCCTTTTTCCAAGGCTAACGTTCTAGGAGGCTAGGATATACTCGATTTCCAGGACATCTCCTCCTCTGAAACCACAGGGTTTCGGGGTGACCAGGGAGCCTGGCTGAGTCCAGGTGTCCAAGAACATATTGATTCACCATGGGAGCCTGGCTGGGGGATACCTTCTCCACCCATTTCCTGAAGGAGCCCTTGCAGCTGGGCTGAAAAATCAAGCGGCGGATCCGAGAGCCCAACTGAGTGTGGGGCTTCGGAGCTCTCGTGTCACCAGGTGGGGTACCAGCCGCGCGTCTGCTTGGAGAAGAGCTGTGGGAAGGGTGAGGGATGCCAGAAAAATGCGAGGAGAGAGCTGCAGAGAGCGCCTGGTGGAGGGTCCTTTTGCACTTCTGCTCTCAGAAGCTCGGATAGAAACCGCCTTTGGGAAGGGTAGTAGCCCCCAGCCCAGGGTCAACGTCCATAGCTCTGGTCATTTCCCCAGCCTGCAGGAAATGGGGCCTGGAGAAAGGGGGCCCCCCAATACTGGGGGAAAGCCAGGCGGAGAAGTCAGAGCCAGCTGAGTAGGAGGAACGGGGTGGGGGGGAGGTTCTAGCGCTCTGGACTCCCCCAGCTCCGGGGCTGTTCCGAGCCCGGAAAGTTTGCGCGCGGCAGGCGCACGATGCGCCCCCTCCCAGCGCCCGCAGGCGCCGGGTCCGCAGGCGCCCACCCCGGCCCGCCCCGCCCGCCGCTCGGTGCCCGCTCAAGGTCACTGCTGACAAGGCGCCTGCCTCCGCGAAGCGAGGGGACCCTGGACGCGCTCGGCTTCAGCTCGGACTCTGGCCCGCCGGGGGTTCCCGGGGCCAAGCACGTATGGAAAGAAAGCCGGCTGGGAGGGAGACACAGACCGAAGGAGAGGGGAGGAGGCCCAGAGCCCCGGGCCCGGCCGCCCCTGCCTCACCTGCGCCGGCTCCGCGAGCGAGATGCTGCTGCTGCCGCTGCCGCTGCCGCTGCCGCTGCCGCCGCCACTGGTGCGCGCCCGGCCCGGCCCGGCCCCGCTGCGGCTGCGGCTCCTCTGCCGCG